CTGACACCCAGAAGTATTAAAACAAAAAAATTTTTACATGAAATATAGATGTAGTACATAAACAATACAATGGGACATGATGAATGAAACATTAACAGCATAACACTTACCGTTATTGGCGATTCTTCTTAGTGTATGGAAGACTGGAGGAGGAGAGACATTGAATTACTGTTTGGAAAGGGAATCCCCTTCCATCAACACCTCAGGTACCAAGTGCTTTTCTGGGGTTACTTCTCTTCTCTGTTTCTTAATGCCACCAGGACCAGCTTGAGAGTCACTGGAGTCCTGTCTCACAAAAAAACTGCCCAGAGAGCTCTGTTTCTGGCGTTTCTTTAAAACTTCCCGAAAATGGGCCAAGACTGTGTTACTGTACAAGTTGCCGATATGGCTTGCAACATCCTTCTCAGGGTGATGTTTCTCCATAAATCTTTCCATCCTACCCCACATTTCAAAAATCTCCTTAATTTCTGAAGAAGGCACCTTCTTCCATCTCTCTTCCTCCTTCTCTGCAGCAAGATTCTGAGCTGCGATCTGTTGCTCCTCCTGCTGAAGCTCTTGCAGCTCCTCAGTAGTTAGCTCTTCGTTATGGTCCTCCACCAACTCTTCCACATCCTCCAAACTCACATCCAACCCCATGGAACTCCCCAGTGCCACAATAGAGTTCACAACTGACATAGGCTCATCAGGGGCTGCCTCAAACCCTGCAAAATCCCTCTTGTGGACACAATCTGGCCACAATTTTCTCCAAGCAGAGTTCAAAGTCCTGGTAGTCACTCCTTCCCAAGCCTTACCTATAAGGCTTATGCAATGGAGAATACTGAAGTGTTCTTTCCAAAAATCTCGTAGGGTCAAGTGAGTGTCTGAGGTCACATTAAAGCACCTTTCAAATGTTGCTTTGGTGTAGTTTTTTAAACTTTGAAATGACCTGCTGGTCCATGGGCTGGAGGAGAGGAGTAGTATTCGGGAGCAAGAACTTTACTATGATGAACCCAAACTCCTTCAGAATTAGGTCATCCAAGTTTGGAGGATGAGCAGGTGCATTGTCCATTACTAGGAGGCACTTGAGATCCAATTTCTTTTCCAGGAGGTAATTCTTCACACTAGGGCCAAACACTTCATTGAACCACCCGACGAAAATGTCCCTCGTGACCCATGCCTTATTATTAGATTTCCAAAACACACAATTTACTCTCCATAACATTGTTTTTCTTGAACACTCTGGGATTTTCAGAATGGTACACTAGTAACGGCTTCACTTTGAAATCCCCACAAGCATTAGCACAGAACATGAGCATCAGCCTGTCTTTCATAGGCTTGTCTCCTGGCAGTGCCTTTTCTTCCTGAGTAATGTAGGTTCTCTTTGGCATTTTCTTCCAAAAGAGGCCTGTTTCATCACAATTGAACACTTGTTCAGGTTTCAATCCTTCAGCCTTTATGTACTCCTTGAATTCCTGCACATATTTTTCAGCCGCTTTTTGGTCCAAACTGGCTGCCTCACCATGCCTTATCACACTGTGTATACCAGTATGCGTCTTAAATCTCTCAAACCAGCCTTTGCTGCCTTAAATTCACTCACACCCCTAGTTCAGGCAATTCTTTACCAAATCGCAGCAACTGCCTAGCCTTTTCACAAATAACACGTCATAAACTAACCCTGCTAATTTTTTTCTCGTTTACCCACACCAAAATAACTTTTCAACACTTCGAGTACTGGATCCCATTTTGTCAGCATATTTACCCCCTTTGCAAAAACAGCTTCCTTGTTTTCCCTTTTTTCCTTGGCTATGAGGGAAAGATATGGTTGTAGGGGTTTGTTAACACCCGGGCCATTTCGCCCACACTATCCACTTTAAATTTTGTTCAATGAGTTTTTTTTAAAAATTCAATCGATTTCTCATTTTTTACCAAAGGTTTGGGCACTAGGAGCTTTCTTTGGACCATGGCCCCTTATTTAGCATTGAAGCATAAAAAATGGAATACAGGGGCCCCCCCCCGGTTTTTAACTTTTAATTTCCGGCAAGGGGGGTAATTTTTATGCGAAAAATCTTATGTGAATGAATTTTCCCCAAAGAAATAATGGAAATAAAATTAATCCGTGCAAGACACCCAAAAAGTATAAAAAAAAATTTTTTTTTTAACCACAGAAATTTAATTTTAAAACACAAACTGAAAAAGGCATGCACACTTACATGACATTCTTTTATTGAAGATCTGGTGATGATTGATGGGGGGGAGGGGGGGAGAGCATATCTCTTACTGTTTAAAAGGGGGAATCCCCCCTTTTGGACTTGAGGAGCAAGTCCTTTTCGGGGGTTACTTCCCTTCTCTTTTAATCCCACTGGGGCCAGCTTCAGGTCCTGACCTTTCCACAAGATATCTGTCCATAGTGGCCTGTACCCTCTTTCCTTTTATCATTTCCCAAAGTTTTTCACAACATTGTCAGGAAAAGGTGCCAACACGGCTTGCAATAGCTGGGGAGGGTGTTTTTCATCCATGAAGGTTTGCACTTCAAGCCACTTTGCACAATTCCTTTATCTTTGTAGTAGCAACTTCTTAAATTTTTTCCTCCCCTCCTCTGAACATTTCCCCAGGTCTCCCTCTTCTCTTAAATTTTTATCTATCACTCATCATGGTTTTTTTCTTCATTGCCCCTCCACCAACTCTTCCACACCCTCCCCACTAACCCCCAAACCCCCAAAGGGACTTTCCCAATGCCACAATGGTTTCCCCTCACGGGCATAATCCCCAGGGTTAGCCTCAAACCCTTCAAAACCCCTTTTTGTCCACATTCGGCCCAGTTTTTTCCAAGCAGAGTTAAAGGGTCCTCTTAGTCACTTCCTCCCAACCCTTTACCTAAAAGGGTTTTACACAATTGAGATATTAAAGTGATCTCTCCAAAATCCCCCTTTAGAGTCATTGGTTTCAGGTCATTACAAAGCATTTTTCAAACAGAGTTTTTTGTGACATTTTTCTGAAGTTGGAAATAACCTCTGGTCCCCTGGGCTGCAGGAGAGGAGTGGTATTAGGAGGCAAAAACTTCACCTTAATAAGCTCAGTCCCCCTAAAGCGCTCCTGCCCCACGTCTGTAGGATGACCAGGGGGATTGTCTAACACCAGGAGGCACTTTAAATTCTAATTTCTTTTTTAGTTAGGGAATCTTTTACATTTGGGGGAAATGATGGTGTAACCAGTTATAGAAAAATTTCCCTAGTACCCCCTTACTTTTGCCCTCCCAGCACACACAAATTATCCTTTAGGGCATTCTTTTTGCCTGAACGCCGGGAGTTTCAGAGTGATACACTATAAAAAAGGGTTCACTTTTCAAACACCAGTAGCATTGGCACACATGAGAAGAGAAGCCGTCTTTCAAGGCTTATGTCCCCGGGAGTGCCTTTTCCTCCTGAGTAAGTAGGCCGCTTTGCATTTTTCCCCCAGAAAAGGGCCCTTTTCCCCCACAAAAAAACACTTGTTAGTTAGTCCTTCAGTTTCTTTGTCCCTTTAATCCTCACAAAATTTTCAGCCGCTTTTGGTCCGAACGGGAGCCCACCATGCCTTATCACACTATGGATCCACTAAAAGCTCTTAAAATCTCTCAAACCAACCTTTGCTGGCCCCCAAATTCACCACATCATCACTAGTTTTCAGGCATTTTTTTAATTAAATCGTCATGCAACTTCCTACCTTTTTACATATGATCGCTTGAGAGACCATCTCCGCTAGCTTTTTTCATTTATCCACACCAATAAGGTCCTAACACTCCATCACTTTCGATCTTTTTTTCAAAACACGTTAAACCTTTGGGAAGAAAGCTTTCCCTTTATTTCTTTTTGGTGCCCACAATAGTACGATGGTTTTATTGGGTTCTTGAAACTTGACTAGGGGCGATACGCCTCCCTTTTTAACTTATCAATGACCTTTTTTTCATTTCAATGGGAATTCTTACCCTTATTTTTGTACGGTTGGCACTAGAAGCTTTCTGGGGCCCATGGTCACTTATTTTCCCAGAAACAGCACGAAAACACTGTAATAATACGAAATATTCCGAGTGTATGCTTGGATGTTACCGCGGAGGCTGGCTGGTAAACAATGGCATGGGCGGCACATGTGAGGCTGGCTGAGGGCGCACATTGGACGCGTCTCGGACGAAAATCGGTGAGCGTGTTTTTAATCAGTATGCGCGGCAAAAATTTTGCGATTAAAGTAAGCGGTATGCGAAATAATCGCTATGTGATGCCATCGTTATGCGGGGGTCCACTGTATTATGAAATATTTCGTATGAACACGTGAGGGGACTGTTGCTCACTGGTAAACAATGGCACACTAGCTGGGAAAGGGGGATGACACAGCTCAGAGCCGTGAGTACGCGTCCAGGACGAAAGACGATTAGCGAGTTAACGGACCATTTGCGAGCCAATGTTTAGACGAAATAACGGGACTATTTCCAAAATGGACGACTTTCAGGCCAGACGATTATTGAGGGACCACTGTATATGGTTATGACGCATCAAAGTGTAGTGGACACTTGATGATGAATTGAGGAACCCACACACAGAAACACTGTATAAAATGAGACCTTATATTTCAATCTTTGAGAGTTTTGGTGTATAGGAGAGTCTAAGTCTGGGTTTATATATGGACAAATCTAATGATTACATGGATCTTAGAGCTGGGAGTGTGGCCACTAAATTTTATCAGAGGAGTAGAGTAACTGGATGCCAGATAGTGTAACATGAGAACAAAGGTATTTGACTACTTTACTGCCTAGATAACTTTTATTGTCCCTTTTCCCTTCCTGCCAACATACATGTAATCCATAGACTTGCCCTTTTATAACCAAGATTCTTTCACTCTCCTGTACTGCTGAAACTCTCAGATGGAGATTGCAATGCATAGTCTCTTTCTGAACTGTGTTTTTTTCTCTATATAAGTTTCATCAGTTCATCTGTGATTATGTTTTATAACTACTGTACTATTTTTTCCTTACTACACACTTGTTTCAGCTTAAGGCCTATTCTGAAGCCAACTATTGGGATGCTCTTGATGTGAAGACAACAGGATCCTGGGATGGTACAACCATGAATGTTGAAGTAGAAGGAAGCTTGGCCAATATTACCCTTAACCTTGATGGTACAGGATCCTACTGGTTGGTGCAAGATGAACATCGGTTGACAGGCTCTGTTGAGCTGAGGATTCCTTCATCAATGTCTTGGAAGCATCTGAAGTCATCAATAAATGGCACATTTAGTGTATCTCACAGCCCTGGTAGACTTAAGGTTAGTTTCATTAACTTACCTGTTGTGTGTTTTATGGATGACAAAATGGATCTGTTGTGTGTTTTATGGATGACAAAATGGATCTGTTGTGTGTTTTATGGATGACAAAATGGCACTGTCTTATGAGTAGGTGACAAAGGCCTCAGACTAAAATGTTGGTCTAATGAAAGAAATCTGTGAATCACAAATGTTTTTGATAAGGCATACACAAGTGTATATAAAGTATCTTATAAATGCTTAAAAAAAAGTCCGGCCTAATATTTTTTTTTTTTTTTAACACAGCCATTTCCCACTGAGGCAGGGTGACCCAAAAAGAAAGAAAACCCGTAAAAGAAAGAAAAAAGCTTTCGTCATTCAACACTTTCACAATCATTCATACATAATCACTATTTTTGCAGAGGCACTCAGATACGACAGTTTAGATGTCAATTCAAACAGCCAATATTCCAAACCCCTCCTTTAACGTTAACCTTTGAGGGTCGACAGGCCCTCTCAGAGACTTGTTCTCAGGGTCGGCCAAATTTCAAAAAAAAAAAAAAAAAAAAATTTCTTATGAAAAAATAGTTTTTTTTTTTCTAAACATAATAGGATAAACAAAAAAATTTTACCATCAATACTTACGGAGATATGGAGGCGTAAAGTTTGCAGAAAATGAGCCCCGTATGGCAACAGCGGCGACTGCCGCTCACCGGTAAACTTTGGTTTATTTGTATTTGAAGGTTTGTTGTTTTTTCACTATTTTATTTTTTCATATAACTTATGTGGCCTGTGAGACCAAAGTAAGGTGCAATGTACATATATACACTCTTTGTATACAACACAATAAGCACACAAACATAATTATCAATATATTGTTTACAAAACTTGTTTACAAAAACAAACAATACAAAACATTGTTTATTACTATTGTTCTATAATATATATATATATACCAATATATAGTCACTGAACATATTCCTAGAAGTTCTGCAGCTTGTGGAACTCTTTGAAACATGGTGTCATACACAATGGTGTTTTATCTTTCTCCCTCATTCTATCTCTTTCAATCTGTCTCTCTCTTTCTATCTGTCTGTCTATCTCTGTCTCACAGGTACGGAAATATAAACACAAATGCAGTATAATGTGATTCTTTATTGACAACGTTTCACCCACACAGTGGGCTTTTTCAAGTCACACACGGATCTACCTGGGGTTGGAAGGTACGAGAGTATTTATAGTCATGTCAGAATGTTGAGGTCAGGTGGAGAATGCTGCATCTGATGATCTACCGGGTGGGGTTATAGAGTCTTGGGTAGCTTGGCAGGGGTATTGGACAAGTTGTAGACCTTCTGCAGTGTTCTATGTTCTTATGTGGGATAGCGATGAAGAAGTTTCTTGGCGAGTGGTTCAGCTATGTTATAGAAGCCATTGTTCTGGTTGAAATTGTTGGTTATAGAGATAAGCGATGATTCCAGGATTCTTCTGTATTGAGTGTTGTCTTCGTTGGCTATAAGTCTTGAGTTTCTGTAGTTAATTAAATGGTTGTGTGAATTGCAATGTTGTACACAGGCATGTATCGTCAGTCCTGCTTGCATATTGGTGTTCTGAAATGCGTGTTTGGAGGTCTCTTGATGTTTCGCCCACATATAATTTGTTGCAGTCATTACAAGGAATTATGTATACCCCTGCAGAGGGGTATACATCTGCAGGGGTATACATAATTCCTTGTAATGACTGCAACAAATTATATGTGGGCGAAACATCAAGAGACCTCCAAACACGCATTTCAGAACACCAATATGCAAGCAGGACTGACGATACATGCCTGTGTACAACATTGCAATTCACACAACCATTTAATTAACTACAGAAACTCAAGACTTATAGCCAACGAAGACAATACTCAATACAGAAGAATCCTGGAATCATCGCTTATCTCTATAACCAACAATTTCAACCAGAACAATGGCTTCTATAACATAGCTGAACCACTCGCCAAGAAACTTCTTCATCGCTATCCCACATAAGAACATAGAACACTGCAGAAGGTCTACAACTTGTCCAATACCCCTGCCAAGCTACCCAAGACTCTATAACCCCACCCGGTAGATCATCAGATGCAGCATTCTCCACCTGACCTCAACATTCTGACATGACTATAAATACTCTCGTACCTTCCAGCCCCAGGTAGATCCGTGTGTGACTTGAAAAAGCCCACTGTGTGGGTGAAACGTTGTCAATAAAGGATCACATTATACTGCATTTGTGTTTATATTTCCATTGTGTCGGTATTTTATACCATTTATTTCCATCGTCTCACAGGTACACATAAATACAAGTATACATAGTATAAATTACCTAGGATAACCCAAGAAATCCAGACAAAGTGCTATACTCTGCTTGAAGATGTGAGTAAAAGTGATGACGCAGTCTTGTGGCTCTCTGAGACAAAGAGCTAGACGGATAGACAGATAGACAGGGAGCTTGACAGACAGACAAATAGACAGACAGAAATGTTAGTGTACCAGCAAAAACAAAGGGAAGGCGATGTTCATCTAATCTTTTTTTATCAGCTCCACCCTCGTTTAAGCTCATCAAAAGTCATCTCTTATCAGATGTTATCTCCCCTTATCTTGTCACTGTCATGGGGTGGACTTTTTTTTTTCTTGATTCAAGGGAAAAATATTATTACATCATCATCTTCCTCTTCCTCCTCCTCTTCCTCATCCTTCTCCTCTTCCCCTACTCTTCCTCCTCTCCCCCCCTCCTCCTCCCCCCCCCCTCCCCCCTCCTCCCATCCTCCTCCCTCCTCCTCCTCTCCTCCTCCCTCCTCCCCTCCTCCCCCTCCTCCCCTCCTCCCCCTCCTCCCTCCTCCTCCTCCTCCCCTCCTCCCCCCTCCCTCCTCCTCCTCTTCCCCCTACTCTTCCTCTTCCTCCTCTTCCCCCTACTCTTCCTCTTCCTCCTCTTCCCCCTACTCTTCCTCTTCCTCCTCTTCCCCTACTCTTCCTCTTCCTCCTCTTCCCCCTACTCTTCCTCTTCCTCCTCTTCCCCTACGCTTCCTCTTCCTCCTCTTCCCCCTACTCTTCCTCTTCCTCTTCCTCCTCTTCTTCCTCCTACTATTCCTCTTCCTCCTCCTCTTACTCTTCTTCCTCTTCCTCCTACTCTTCTCTTCCTCTCTCCTCTTCTTCCTCTTCCTCCTCTCTTCCTCCTACTCTTCCTCCTCTTCCTCCTCCTCTTCTTCCTCTTCCTCATCTTCCCCCTACTCTTCTCCTACTCTTCCTCTTCCTCCTCTTCCTCCTCCTCCTCCTCCTCCTCTTCTTCCTCTTCCTCCTACTCTTCCTCTCTTCCTCCTCCTCTTCCTCCTCTTCCTCCTCCTCTTCCTCCTCCTCTTCCTCCTCCTCTTCTTCCTCTTCCTCATCTTCCCCCTACTCTTCCTCCTACTCTTCCTCATCCTCCCCCTCCTCCTCCTCCTCCCCCTTCTCCTCCTCCTCCATAGTGTAAATTACCAGGAGTCTGCAGCTGTCAAAATGACATATTGTCTCATTACTCACTCCCCCTCCCGCCTGTCAAAACAATGGGGTCGGATGCTGCTTCCCCTCTATTCTATCTAATTATCTTTCTCCCTCATTCTATCTCTTTCTATCTGTCTGTCTATCTCTGTCTCACAGGTACACATAAATACAAGTATACATAGTATAAATCCCTTCACAAAATATTACCTGGCTAACACTCCAACAGCTCATCAGGTCCCAGAAATCATTCGTTTCCATTCACTCCTATCTAACACGCTCATGCACGCTTGCTAGAAGTCTGAGCCCCTCACCCACAAAACCTCCTTTACCCCCTCCCTCCAATCTTTCCTGGGATGACCCCTACCCTGCTTCCTTCCACTACAGATTTATACACTCTTCAAGTCATTCAACTTTGTTCCATTCTCTCTAAATGACCAAACCACCTCAACAACCCCTCTTCAGACCCCTGACTAACACTTTTAGTAACTCCATGCCTCCTCCTAATTTCAACACTACAAATTTTCTACATAATATTTACACCACACATTGCCCTTAGACACATCTGCACTGCCTCCAGCCTTCTCCTTGCTGCAGCATTTACAACCCATGCTTCACACCCATATTAGAGTGTTGGTACCACTACACTCTCGTATATTCCCTTCCTTGCCTCCATGGATAAGGTTTTTCGTCACCACAGATACCTCAACGCACCACTCACCTTTTTTTCTTCATCATTTCTATGGTTAACTTCATCCTTCGTAAATCCATCTGCTCTCAAGTTAGCTCCCAAATATCTGAACACATTCACTTCTTCCATACTCCCTCCCTCTTTATCTGAACCGTTTGATACCCTCATCACCTTACTCTTATCTATGTTCACTTTCAACTTTCTTCCTTTACACACCCTCCCAAACTCGTCCACTAACTTTGGCAACTTTTCTTTAGGATCTCCCAAAAGCACAGTATCATCAGCAGAAATTAACTATGTCAGCTTCCATTTTGTATTTCATTCCCCATAATTTAACCCTTAAACTGTCCACACGTAGATATACATTCGTGTGCGGTGGGCTCCGAACGTAGATCAATGTTTTATTTTTGATTCCTTCATATTTGGTGCGATAGACCTGAGTCACCTAGACATGAAAGAATGGGTCTGTGCACTCAGTGTGCGCACTATGAAAAAATCGGGAACCACTTAGTACCTTGTGGGAGCACCAGATCAACTGAGCACCAGCTAGAGCAAATAGCGTGGCATACACTAGTGATTCACTGATGTCATGTCATATTAACACTCACATTTTTAAGAGGAAAGTAAAAACAGGTTAGAAAAATGCATGAGTGGGTGTGGGTGGGTGTGATTTGGACCTGACTAGCTTGTGCTACTGGGTCAGATGTCATGCTCCTTCATTCAGGGGAAGTGACCTGACTAGGTGGGTCATTGGTCTATGCCAGGGATTGACATGGACCTGCTTTGCATGGACCAGTAGGCCTGCTGCAGTGTTCCTGCTTTCCTGTGCGCTTCTGTATTCGGCTGGCTGGCTTTGGCTATCTCTGTCTGTATCTGTCTATATCTCTGTCTATCTGTCTATATCACTGTCTATATGTATCTCTGTCTATATCTCTGTCTCTCATGTGTACTCATATGTACAGTTATTATACATAATGTAAATTACTTAGGATAACCCAAAAATTCCAGGCCAAGTGCTATACATTGTTTGTAGATATAAGACATTAATAAACATAATGCAAATAATAGCAGTGTTACTTACTCAGCAATCAGGGAGCGGCACATACACCACAAACCAACAGGTTTACTAGCCGCTCCCTGAGACAGACACCCAGGCAGACAGAAAGACAGATAAGCATAGCTAGACAGATAAATAAGCAGAGGTAGGCAGACAGACAGATAGATGTGCAGATAGGACAGACAGACAGACTGACAGAGGCATGTTTGTGTGCAAGAGTAAAAACATATAAAGGCAAGGTTCCCCTTCCAGCAGTGCACATTCATCAAATGTCACTTGTTATCTGACACTGTCATAACACCATTATTCAAGGAGTTCATATTATACTCCAGGCACACACAAAAGACAGAAAGACAGATGAGCTGAACTGGATAGACAGATAAGCAGAGCTAGGCAGACAGATAGATGTACAGATAGACAGACAGACAGGCAAACAGATAGTCAGGCAGACTGACAGACAGACATACAGAGACATTTGTGTGCAAGAGTATAAACATATAAAGGCAAGGTTCCCCCCTCCAGCAGGGCACATTCATCAAATGTCACTTGTTATCTGACACTGTCATAACACCATGCTTTAAACAACCTAATATATGTTTGTGGAAAAAAACAAAAACATGAAATCATATGAATGTAAAATTTTAAAACCAAATCTACTGGTGAGGTACATATGAAAGGATTGCAAACCTGAAAGACATTTCAGCATGCATGCCTCATGTCTCAGGCATTAGGTTATGTTATCTCTCTCCAGTGCTCCACAATAGGCAGGAGAGGATAGTCATTTCTATTGTGTGTGTATGCATAGCACATTTAGCAACTCGTTCAATCATGCATTAGATGCAAAGCTTTCATTCAATCTCCCATTCACTCATACAAATAGTTTACTGTCATGCAAAAAAAAAAATTATAAATTTGCTGGTGCATCTTTTCCCATGCACCTTCCTTTTCTTCAAAATCAAAAAATCAAAATCAAAATACAGTAGACAGCTACTCCCTTTAGTGCAAGTTATGCTTCAGAAAAATGGAGATACGTGTGAAAATGTGAGGGGTGGAGTGAACTGCTTATGGGTAAAATTGGGTTTTGTTCCATTGTACCCCGTAAAAAGCCAAAGAAGTTTGGTTTTGCATTCTTAAACCATCAATATTAACCCTTTGACTGTTTTCGACGTATAAATACGTCTTACGAGCCAATGTTTCTGACGTATATATACTCAATAATTCTAGCGGCTTCAAATCAAGTGGGAGAAAGCTGGTAGGCCCACATGTGAGAGAATGGGTCTGTGTGGTCAGTGTGCACCACATAAAAAAAATCCTGCAGCACACATTGCGTAATGAGAAAAAAAAAACTCTGATCGTTTTTTTGGAATAAAACGCCGACTTTGAGGTGTATTTTCGTATAGTATTTATCGTTGTATTCGCGTTTTCATGGTCTTAGGTGATAAAATGGGAAACATATTACAGAAATAGAGATGATTTTCATTACTTTTACGATGAAAACGACCTTGAAACTGAGCTCAAAGTAGCGGAAATGTTCGATTTTTACCAATGTTCAAGAGTAAATAAATCACACCACACGTCCAATACACGTCAACTGGGGAGTCTAATATTCTTTCACTAGTGCACTGATATTATATTTATACCATTTTTACAATAATGCAGTCGTCTGCATAACAGTAAATTTTGTATTTTTTTGTATGAATAAAAAATCAAAATAGAAAGCAATAATAATATAAGAGGGGCCTAGAGATGTGACTAATGAACAGAGCGTATGTTATTTTAGTGCCACGAATGTCTACCTTGTTTATTCTGGACCCTATTTTGAAATTGGCATCTTTTTTATTTTGCGTGAAATTGGCCAAATTGCCAATTTCTGACCACCATATTGGGTAGTCCAAATTAGTAAATGGGAGGTTTCTTGTAATCAGCTGATAGATAAAATGGAGTTCTAAAGAAGTAGCTATGAGTTTGGTCAACTGGAACAATGGAATTGGCTGAAAATTGGGCTCAAAGTCGGCGAAATCGCCGACACGCATATGTCGCCGAGACCGCTAACTTCGCGGGAGCATAATTCCACGAGTTTTCGACCAAATTTCGAACTTTTGGTGTCATTACCATCGGGAAAAGATTCTCTATCATTTCATAAGAAAAAATAATTTTTTTTTTTTCAAAAATTGAGCGACATAGAATGACAGTTTCAGAGAGGGGCCTGAAACAGTCAAAGGGTTAATAAAGTTTTTTAGAGTTTGCATTGTAGATGTTGTTTGTTGTTGACCTAAATGTGTGTGGAGAGGGTTCATGTTATCCTTCTGTTCCTACTTGGATGTAATGAAGTTTGGTCCCTCAAACATGTTTACAGTGTTTGACTCATATGGGTTATCCAATGTTAAATTTTCATAATGTATTTTTTATGTGTCCGCAACATATGTGTGCCATCAAGATCAATGTAAAAATATTGTATGCATGTCCAAAACCTAAATGGAAAACTTTCTTATGAAATAAATGTACTTAAGTACATTTCACACAAAGTAGATGCCAATGGCTTTTACCCATGAAGTGAAAAATGATTGGAGTGATTTTGGCAGTTACAGTGGAGAGGAATATATGTACAAGGAGAAGAGTGCTGATTTATGAGATAGTGACTTTGGTGTGCCCAGACTGGGAAGAAACATGGCTTGTAAACAAGGTCTGCCCAGTTTTTGAAGCATCTGTGGCTGAGTAGTCTAGAACATCACGTGGAGAACCTTGCCAGCCTCCCCTGACATGATTTCGAATCCTGCTGACTGTTATTTTTCTCCACATATACCCATTTCTTTCTGTGTGGTGCCTCACCTTGAGAAAACCCTATGTACACATTATTATTTTGTTAATATAGTATATAGCATTGCACCTAGTTATGTTTATTATTATTTTTTTTTTCTCAACACGTTGGTCATCTCTCACCAAGGCAGGGTGACCCAAAAAGAAAGAAAATCCCCAAAAAGAAAATTTTTCATCATCATTCAACACTTTTACCTCACTCATACATGATCACTGTCTTTACAGAGGCACTCAGATACAACAGTTTAAAAGTCAACCTACAAACTGTCAATATCCCAAACCCCTCCGTTAAAGTGCAGGCATTGTACTTCCCATTTAAAGAACTCAAGTCTGGCTATTGTTTATGGGTTTGTAAATCAGTGAAACATATAAGTGAACAGTATTTAGATAAGGCTAAAGAGGTTTTTGTGGCATTTATGGATTTGGAAAAGGCGTATGACAGGGTGGATAGGGGGGCAATGTGGCAGATGTTGCAGATGTATGGTATAGGAGGTAGGTTACTGAAAGCAGGGAAGAGTTTTTACAAGGATAGTGAGGCTCAAGTTAGAGTGTGTAGGAAAGAGGGAGATTATTTCCCAGTAAAAGTAGGCCTTAGACAAGGGTGTGTGATGTCACCGTGGTTCAATATATTTATAGATGGGGTTGTAAGAGAAGTAAATGCAAGGGTCTTGGCAAGAGGTGTGGAGTTAAAAGATAAAGAATCACACATAAAGTGGGAGTTGTCACAGTTGCTCTTTGCTGATGACACTGTGTTCTTGGGAGATTCTGAAGAGAAGTTGCAGAGGTTGGTGGATGAATTTGGTATGGGATGTAAAAGAAGAAAATTGAAAGTGAATACAGGAAAGAGTAAGGTTATGAGGATAACAAAAAGATTAGATGATGAAAGATTGGATATCAGATTGGAGGGAGAGAGTATGGAGGAGGTGAATGTATTCAGATATTTGGGAGTGGACGTGTCAGTGGATGGGTCTATGAAAGATGAGGTGAATCACAGAATTGATGAGGGAAAAAGGATGAGCAGTGCACTTAGGAGTCTGTGGAGACAAAGAACTTTGTCCTTGGAAGCAAAGAGGGGAATGTATGAGAGTATAGTTTTACCAACGCTCTTATATGGGTGTGAAGCATGGGTGATGAATGTTGCAGCGAGGAGAAGGCTGGAGGCAGTGGAGACATCATGTCTGAGCTCAATGTGTGGTGTGAATATAATGCAGAGAATTCATAGTTTGGAAGTTAGGAGGAGGTGTGGGATTGCCAAAACTGTTGTCCAGAGGGCTGAGGAAGGGTTGTTGAGGTGGTTTGGACATGTAGAAAGAATGGAGCGAAACAGAATGACTTCAAGAGTGTATCAGTCTGTAGTGGAAGGAAGGCGGGGTAGGGGTCGGCCTAGGAAGGGTTGGAGGGAGGGGGTAAAGGAGGTTTTGTGTGCGAGGGGCTTGGACTTCCAGCGGGCATGCGTGAGCGTGTTTGATAGGAGTGAATGGAGACAAATGGTTTTTAATACTTGACGTGCTGTTGGAGTGTGAGCAAAGTAACATTTATGAAGGGATTCAGGGAAACCGGCAGGCCGGACTTGAGTCCTGGAGATGGGAAGTACAGTGCCTGCACTCTGAAGGAGGGGTGTTAATGTTGCAGTTTAAAAACTGTAGTGTAAAGCACCCTTCTGGCAAGACAGTGATGGAGTGAATGATGGTGAAAGTTTTTCTTTTTCGGGCCACCCTGCCTTGGTGGGAATCAGCCAGTGTGTTAATAAAAATAAAAAAAAAAATCCCCAATTATGTTACTCTGCACCCTGTGCCACATCACTCACATCCCATGGCTATTTTCTTTACAGGTTTCTCATGTGATGATTGTAGAAAAAGATAAGCAAGTTATCTTTAGCTGCAATGGAAAAGTTTTGGTTGATGCTCAAAAAGTGGAGGGTCGTCTAAGATTGGATCATGCAGGCCCCGTTGGTAGCAGCCAGGTTTATACCTTAGATGTGAGTATGTGGTATAAAATATTACAAAACATAGGCTTGTATATTAAAAATGGGAAGAAATATGGTAAAACCAATGAATATACATTCAATACAGGAATGAAAAGCATGACAGGAAAAAACTAATTACAAAATGAACCTTAATAAAAGCCAGTTTAAAGACTAGAGAATGGGAAACAAAGAAATTTCCTGTGTATAATCAATACTAGTATTATGGAAGTAAATGTTGGTGGATAAATACATTGATTTGTACAAGAAAAAAATTTCTACCATTTTTATCATTATTTTTGCATCACACAAATTCATCCATCAATATTGTCTTTTTAATACTGTACTAGTTTTCAATGTGATCTCCCTATAACTTTCCTTTAATCATAAGACACAGGAGTTTTTTTTATCATATGTTAGTAATATCTTAAGTTATGTTTGTTGCGAGTAAGGGATTTAGAGGAATTTTTTATTCCTTGGAAGTTTATAAAGAACTTCAGAATTTGGCCTGTTACAAAATTTCTTTTCTCAGGCAAAAAGGTAACGAATTAAAGCTAGTTTATTTTAGAATCTAGGGGTAATTTCAACTAGGAAAACTCAATACAATAATATAAAAATCTTATTATGCTTAATTTTAAAATACTTGAATACAATACTTCTCTTTGGCTGATTTCATAGGAGCTTGGCTGATTTCATAGGACTGAAAAATTACTTAGGTGGGCTGAACTGGAATGACCTGACTAAGGGTCAGGTAGGTGGTGATGGTTGCCGATATGACGCTTTCCAGGGCATAGTTCTAGCTGCTCAGTCAAATTATGTTCCAAATAGGGAAATCAGATCAAACAAAAATGATCCTAAATGGATGAACAATAGATTAAAATATCTGATTGGTCAAAAGAGAGGCATATATAGGCAAATCAAAAGAGGAGAGGGGCAATTAAGAAATCAATATATTCAGTTAAAGAGAGAAATAAAAAAGGGAATTAGAAAAGCAAAAAGAGATTATGAGGTTAAAGTTGCAAGAGAATCGAAGACTAACCCAAAAGGATTCTTTCAGGTATACAGAAGTAAGATCAGGGACAAGATAGGCCCACTCAAAAGTTTCTCGGGTCAGCTCACTGACTTTGATAAGGAAATGTGTAGAATTTTTAACACATACTTCCTCTCAGTTTTTACACAGGAGGATACCAGCGATATTCCAGAAATGATAAATTATGTAGAACAGGACGATAATAAACTGTGCACGATTAGGGTCACAAGTGACATGGTCCTTAGGCAAATAGATAAATTAAAACCTAACAAATCCCCAGGCCCTGATGAACTGTATGCAAGGGTTCTAAAGGAATGTAAAGAGGAGCTTAGCAAACCTTTGGCTAATCTTTTCAACATATCACTACAAACTGGCATGGTGCCAGATAAGTGGAAAATAGCAAATGTGATACCTATTTTCAAAGCAGGTGACAGGTCCTTAGCTTCGAACTATAGACCAATAAGCCTAACCTCCATAGTGGGAAAATTTATGAGTCAATAATTGCCGAGGCAGTTTGTAGCCACCTTGAAAAGCATAAATTAATCAACGAATCTCAGCATGGTTTTACAAAGGGGCGTTCCTGCCTTACGAATTTATTAACTTTTTTCACTAAGGTATTTGAGGAGGTAGATCATGGTAATGAATATGATATTATGTATATGGACTTCAGTAAGGCTTTTGACAGGGTCCCACATCAGAGACTATTGAGGAAAATTAAGGCACATGGAATAGGAGGAGAAATTTTTTCCTGGATAGAGGCATGGTGACAAATAGGCAGCAGAGAGTTTGCATAAATGGGGAGAAATCAGAGTGGGGAAGCGTCACGAGCGGTGTTCCACAGGGGTCAGTGTTGGGCCCCCTGCTGTTCACAATCTACATAAACGACATAGATGAGGGCATAAAGAGCGACATCAGCAAGTTTGCCGATGACTCCAAAATAGGCCGTCGAATTCATTCTGACGAGGACATTAGAGCACTCCAGGAAGATTTGAATAGACTGATGCAGTGGTTGGAGAAGTGGCAGATGCAGCTTAATATAGACAAATGCAAAGTTCTAAATGTTGGACAGGACAATAACCATGCCACATATAAACTAAATAATGTAGACTTAATATTACGGATTGCGAAAAAGATTTAGGAGTTCTGGTTAGCAGTAATCTGAAACCAAGACAACAGTGCATAAGTGTTCACAATAAAGCTAATAGAATCCTTGGCTTCATATCAAGAAGCATAAATAATAGGAGTCCTCAGGTTGTTCTTCAACTCTATACATCCTTGGTTAGGCCTCATTTAGATTATGCTGCACAGTTTTGGTCACCGTATTTCAGAATGGATATAAATGCTCTGGAAAGTGTACAAAGGAGGATGACAAAGTTGATCCCATGTATCAGAAACCTTCCCTATTTATTTATTTATTTATTTATTTATTTATTTATTTATTTACAATTTGAGCACACATACAGAGGTACAAAAAAAATACAGATAAGAGCAGCATGCCAAAGCCACTTATACTATGCATAGCATTACGGGCTGGCTTAAAATTAACTTAAGATTAACTAAGCAATGATGAAATCAGTGATAAAACATTAATGTAAACAGATTACTATAAAGCACAAGTGAGTATTACAAAGACAGGTCATATGGTTGCATGCATTGTTGTACATTCAGTAGAATGGAGTATTCTGTTAGGTAGTGTATTTAAAAAATAATAAAGTTAGATTGGGTTTTAGGTTTAACTTTTATGTGATATAATTGTGAGAAACATTTAAGATATACAATTTATAAGGTTCAGTTATTCAGTATTTATTTGGTTTTGGGTGAGTAAGTGTCTTTTAGAAGAGACTTGAATTTATAAACAGGTAGTGTTTCTTTTATATTTACAGGGAATGAATTCCAGATTTTAGGGCCTTTTATGTGCATTGAGGTTTTTGCATAGTGTGAGATGGACACGAGGAACATCAAAGAGTGATCTGTGCCTTGTGTTTGGTCATGTGTTCCCGTTGAGGTTGGCAAGGGGATGTTTGAGGGGAGGGTTAATATCAAGTTAAGTGTTTTATGTATGTAATAGGTGCAATAATAAGTATGTATGTTTTGTATGGTGAGTAGGTTGAGTGTATTGAATATTGGTGGAGTGTGCTGCCTGTAGTGAGAATTTGTTATCATTCTAACTGCAGCCTTTTGTTGGGGAATTAGTGGTCTGAGATGGTTACTTGTTGTTGAGCCCCATGCACAAATTCCATAGGTGAGATAGGGGTAAATAAGAGAGTGATATAGGGCCAGGAGGGCTGACTGTGGAGCATAGTACCGTATCTTCGATAGTATGCCTACAGTCTTGGAAATTTTCTTAGAAATTTGTTGTATATGTGTATGAAATTTGAGTCTATTATCAAGGTGGATTCCTAAGAATTTTCCCTCTGTTAGCTTTGTGATAGGTGATCCGTTTATCATTATGTTAAGAGGGACATCTGTAGCTCTGTTACCAAACTGAATGAAGTAGGTTTTGTCAATGTTTAGTGTAAGTTTGTTAGTCCTCATCCAGGTAGATATTTTCTGTAATTCGGTATTTACAGTATTGGCTAAGGGCCCTGAATCTGCACTCTCTAGAAAGACGTAGAATTAGGGGGGATATGATTGAGGTGTATAAATGGAAGACAGGAATAAATAAAGGGGATGTAAATAGTGTGCTGAAAATATCTAGCCTAGACAGGACTCGCAGCAATGGTTTTAAGTTGGAAAAATTCAGATTCAGGAAGGATATAGGAAAGTACTGGTTTGGTAATAGAGTTGTGGATGAGTGGAACAAACTCCCAAGTACAGTGATAGAGGCCAGAACGTTGTGTAGCTTTAAAAATAGGATGGATAAATACATGAGTGGATGTGGGTGGGTGTGAGTTGGACCTGATAGCTTGTGCTACCAGGTCGGTTGCCGTGTTCCTCCCTTAAGTCAATGTGACCTGACCTGACTGGGTTGGGTGCATTAGCTTAAGCCGGTAGGAGACTTGGACCTGCCTCGCATGGGCCAGTAGGCCGGCTGCAGTGTTCCGTCGCTCTTATGTTCTTTTTTTTTTTTTTTCAACAAGTCGGCCGTCTCCCACCGAGGCAGGGTGACCCAAAAAAGAAAGAAAATCCCCAAAAAGAAAATACTTTCATCATCATTCAACACTTTCACCACACTCACACATTATCACTGCTTTTGCAGAGGTGCTCAGAATACAACAGTTTAGAAGCATATACGTATAAAGATCACAACATATCCCTCCAAACTGCCAATATCCCAAACCCCTCCTTTAAAGTGCAGGCATTGTACTTCCCATTTCCAGGACTCAAGTCTGACTATATGAAAATAACCAGTTTCCCTGAATTCCTTCACTAAATATTACCCTGCTCACACTCCAACAGATCGTCAGGTACCAAGTATCATTCATCTCCATTCACTCCTATCTAACACGCTCATGCACGATTGCTGGAAGTCCAAGCCCCTTGCCCACAAAACCTCCTTTACCCCCTCTTTCCAACCCTTTCCAGGATGACCCCTACCCCTCCTTCCTTCCCCTATAGATTTATATGCTTTCCATGTCATTCTACTTTGATCCATTATATCTAAATGACCAAACCACCTCAACAACCCCTCTTCTGCCCTCTGACTAATGCTTTTATTAACTCCACACCTTCTCCTAATTTCCACACTCTGAATTTTCTGCATAATATTTACACCACACATTGCCCTTAGACAGGACATCTCCACTGCCTCCAACCGTCTCCTGCTGCTGCTTTTTACCCCCCAAGCTTCACATCCATATAAGAGTGTTGGTACTACTATACTTTCATACATTCCCTTCTTTGCCTCCATAGATAACGTTTTTTGACTCCACATATACCTCAACGCACCACTCACCTTTTTCCCTCATCAATTCTATGATTAACCTCATCCTTCATAAACCCATCCGCCGACATGTGAACTCCCAAGTATCTGAAAACATTCACT